CCCCCCCCTTTTTTTTTTTTTTTTTTTTAAAAAAAAAAAAAAAAAAAAAAAAAGGCAGGTGGTGGTGGTGTACAAAACCTGTCTCACTAGGGTGGCCGTGCATGCAAAGTGCTTACAATGTCCGGGGCAGTCAATGTTAGCAGTAACAGGCGGATTCCTGAAGGGCCCCCCCAGCTCGGAGTTTCTGGGCTCTGCTACGCGGTCCGGGAGCGCCCCGGACGGAGCTCTGGGGCCTGAGCTTTACTCCGGCCGAGCCCCAAATGCTTACGTGCCTTTCGGCAAGTTCCTTCCTGGCTCTGGCCCGGTGCCCCTCGGCCAGAGGAAGTTGTGGGGTGGTCTCTGCGGCTCGGCTCGGCTCTGAAACTTGGGCGTTCAAAGCGGCCGTAGCCTCATCCCCGACCACGAGGCGGGGAGGACTGGCAGGGGCTGGTGAGACCGGGGGAGCGGCGGGCCCGCGGGACGCGCCACCCGCCGCCGCTCCGCGGGCTCTGCGGCTGTTTACCTCGCTGGGCCCTACCCCGCGGCTGCGGTCCCGCCGGAGAACACGGCGCGATTGGACGACTGGCCTGTCAATCTCCGGGGACTTTCCCAGGGGTGGGGCAGCCCGGCCCCCTGCACTTCCTCGTCCCAGCCCCTTCCCAGGAGCTGGCGGAGTGCTGCGCGGCTGGAGCCTGGCCTGGGCCGCTACCCGGTCACTGGACGCGGGGCTGGACGCGGAGAGAGGGGCGCTGTCCCTCAAGGCCCTCCCCCTCAGGTAAGCCGGCCGGAGCAAGGGTGGAGGGAGAGGAAGGGAGCCTGCGACCCGGCGGGTCAGAGCCTCAGCGGTGACTTAGCGTCGATTGGGAGGGCAGGCCCGGCCAGGTGGCCTGGCCTCCTCGGCTCCTGGGCTCTGGCCCGTGAGGTCCCCGGTTTCGGGGCGCCTCCTGGGGCGGCTGGGGGGTCCGGCTGTGTGGGGAATCCCTGTCGCTCGCGGAGGGTGGGTGCGCGTGCGCACTGCGTAGCCGAGCGCTTCTGGAAACGGTGCGCCGGCGAGTGCAGGGCTCGCGGGCGGCGGGTGCTGGCCGGCGGGAGGAGGGAGGTGCGAGCGTGAGTCTGTTTACAGTGCGGGAGACCCGCTTGGGAAACGGTGTGCGCAGGGAATGGAAAGGAAAGTAACACCTGTCGTGGGGCACTTTCCGAGCGCTGATCTAAACCCTTAACACGCATTAAACTCACTTAATTGTCACATTCCTCTTCAAAATGAGTAGTATTATTACCCCCATTTTGCTTCCAACCGAGGCATTTGGAGACTGGGGTCACACAGATAGGGGGTTGCAAAGTCAGGATTTGAAAGCTGGCGTTTGCTGCCAGAACCCCTGCTCTACTGTTCCTGTTGAACATATTTGCACAGTGTAGGAGACTACATTTGTGTGCATGTGCAGGGTAGCTGTAGTGAGTTTCTGGGAGTGATTTTGGGTGTGGAGATTCTACATATGGGTGACTTTTCTACTGTAGAACATTTGTGTGCATACAATGATGTGTATGGAAGCGATGGCATTGTACATTCATTAATTTTGTGTATGGGAGCGGGTGGGAATTTTGTGTGACTGGGCCACCGATTGTGTTTTGGTTGGGGAGGGCGGGACTTTTGTGGATTACCCAGAAGAATCAGCAACATTCATCCCCACCCCCTTGCAGAATGACAGTGCAGGGGAAGCTGTGGATTCCTAATGCATCATTTTTATTTCACAGTATAGTCAAAATGGAATTTAAGCAGCACTTACTCACTTTCCAAACAGTGGGGTATGGTAGAGGGGAATTCGGCATCTGATGAGAAGTCAGGAAAGGGGACTCACAAGTTTTTTTTTAATTCCTGACAATGGATATTGCACTAGGAAGCTGGGATATTTATTAGTACAAGCTCATAGCGATCCTGTGATGTATCAGTATTCCTATTTTACAGCAGAGGGAACCTGAGGCAGTGAAAAACTAGTAATGGTAGTAATAACAGCTTACATTTATGAACACTTACCATGTGCCAGGCATGGTGCTTTACATTCAGTCTCTCATTTAATTTTTTCAGCAACCCTAGGAGATCATCACTATAAGTAGCCTCAATTTTCAGGTGAGGAAACTGAGTCCCAAAGGGTAAGAATTACCCCCCAAACTAGTAAACTTTGAACCATGGACCCTGTTCCCTTTCCACTGGCCAAGGCTGTTGTCCTGGCTGTGTTCTGGGAAAATAATGTGATCAGGGACTGGCACTTCATGGAAGCACTTGACCATGTCCCTCTGGAGGCAGCAGCCATGAGAGTCCTGTGTTCTACATACTTATGTGACCCTGTTTTCCCCCACCTGTGGGTGTCCTGTGGATATGGCGTGGCACTCATGCTGAGGGTTGGTGCCTGCCCCTATGCCCACACCAGTCCTTTGGGGCCCCAGGAAGCCATGGGGTCTGACTCATACCCTTACCCCCAGTGCTGCTTGTCACTCGGGCCCGGATGTCCTGGGTTGGGTCAGGCCGACCTGATTTGAGCACCTTAGAATTGTAAAAGGTTGTCTGCCTCCCTCTCTGGTTGCCACTGGGTACTACCTTATTTCTGCACTCACTGTGGTTTAGCCATGGCACCTGCTTTTCTTCCCTGCCAAACTTGGTCTTTTCTTGAGGTCTTTGTATGTGCTGTTCTTTCTGCCTGGAACACCTTTCTCCAGCTCTTTCTATGGCTGGTTCTTCCTTATCTGTCAAGTCTCAGCTCAAATGTCACCTCCTCGGAGGGGCCTTCCCTGACCTTTCTATGCAAAGTAACCCTTTTTTCACTTTCTGTCATAAAACTGTTGTATTTTTTAAAAAAATACTTTTGTCATCCTCTGAAATAATCTTGCTTATTTGTGAATGAGAAAGTTTATGTGTAGAACTTAGTGTCTGGCATATAGTTATTTCAGTGTTTACTTGTTTGTTGTTTTTCTCTTTTCCTAGAAGAGAAGGGTGAGAGCAGGGACCTCTTTAGTTTCACGTGTTGCATCCGTGACACTAGATAAGAGTGTCTAGGGTAAGACGCTGCCGGCTTTGTTCAATGGGTGAGTAGAATTGAAGAAACTAGAATAATGGTGCATTTCCCAGGTGAGAAGACTGAGGCCTAGAGATGGAAAGACACTTGTCCTGAAGAGGTGGTGGCAGAGTTGGGATGAGAACCAGAACTTGCTTCCCCAGGCATTTTTTTTTCCTTCTGATAGTCAGCAAAAATTTTGTGAGGACCCTCCTGCCCAGTGCTCTGAATTTGGCATGGTGCTCAGGTGCATAAGGAATTGGCTCTGCCCTCTAGGAACTTGTAGTGGAACGGGGAAGAATTGCTCTGAGCACTGTCTGGAAGCCCTTGTGTGGCAGCAAGTGCCTGGCAGTAAGTCTGGAGTGTGGAGCAGTTTGGGGGTGCCAGGTGGGCAGGGGGCTTCTGGAGGGAGGTGACTCCAAGGCCAGGCCCTAGAAAGATAATGAGGTGCAGAGCGGGGCTTAAACCCCATCTGGAACTTGGTAGTTGGGCAGTGGATTTGGGGTAAGGCTCTGCTGGGTTGAGGAAGCTGACCAGCCAGTCTAGGAAAAACCCTAAGGTCTTGACTACCAGGCAGAGATGTGTCAGTTTTTCCCTGTGGGCAGCATTGGGAAGTGATTAGAGCATTTGACTGGCAAACTTAAGCAGGCATCAGAACCACCTGAGTGGCTTGTTAGATCGCTGGACAATGTCCCCTGACATTTGATCCAGTGGGTATTGGTGAGGCGGCTGCTGGTCTGAGTGGCTCTTTGAGAACCCCTGGTGTGGAGTGCATGCTTCAGAGTTGGGCACACCGGGTGGGTACTGCCCTTCCTTCCTCATCTGTGAGATTCTGTTACATCAGTGCTACCTTCTAGAGTGGTGGGAATGAATGAGACAGTGCGTGTCAAGCGCTTAGCACAGGGCTGGTGCACGGTGAGCCGTCAGTAAATGCCCACTGCTGACCTTGTTAACGATGATAATCATAAGGATATTGAAGGGATTTCAGTAGGAGAAGGTGAGGATGGTCCATATTTCTGTGCTTCAGGAGAACTTGCCTCTGACCCTCTGCCACCTATGCTGTGTCGTCCTTTGCTTTGTCTCAGATGTCTTTCCATCCCTGATTGGAATAGTGGAAGTTTATCTGTGCGAGGGGTGCAGAGGACACCTGGCCCAAATTTCCTTAACAGCACCCAGCACCTGAGCTGGTGATCATCCAGCTTCCACTTGGCCTCCACCCTCAGGGCCAGGGAGCGCTCTGCCTCCCAGTGTTGTTACTGATGGCTTGCTTTTACAGGAGGGGGAGGGGCTTGGTGCAGGTTCTTCCTTTCTCACTTCCTCTTCGTTCCCTTATTGCTCACCTGACCACTTTGGGGGACAGAGGGAAGGAAAGAGGCAGGGTAGTAATGTGGTGTGGCAAAGAGGGCACAGCTGGCCACCAGAAGACCCAGGTCGCCTCCCCTCTGCATCGCTGCCATCCCATGCAGCCTTGGGCAGGTCTCTTCTCTTTGCTGGCTCTGGTGTCCCAGCTGCGAAATGAAGGGATTACACTGGCTGGTGCCTCAGGGTGTCCTCTTCCAGCTCTAAAAATTCTGTAGCCCAGCAATTGGGCCTCCAGCAGTTTCTGAGCTTTTCCTGGTTGGCCAGGCCTTTTGTGCCCACCCTCCCTGCTTGTAAAGGCTGCACCACTGCCCCTCCTTTCCCTGTCCTTCTTTGACGGGAGGATGTCTGGGGTCCTCTGGAGAGTTAACCAAAAAGAAGGCACAGGGAAGCAGGGAGGAGATCCCCAACTCTAGAGACAGACTTGGCAGCCACTGTTTTTCCCCATGACTGGCCCAGGACAGTCACTCTTCCGATGGGAACGGATGACTGGCCTGAGGAGCAGCTGGGTCTTTGTCTGAGGACTGCCCCCCCTCGTGGAGCTTTCCTCTTCCTGAGGCCCTCTCCCAGAGGCTGTTCCCTGTGTCCTTGAGCACCTACGGGGTGGGCGTACAGGGTGGCCCGGGCAGATGGCTGTGTACGCAGGGGGAGGGCAGTGGGAGGGGTGCTGTGGGAGTCATGTCACCAAGGAGTCATACTCAGAGGCCAGAGCTGATATTTTTAGGGCAGGCGTGGGGGGTGGCCCATGAGTCAGGGGCCTTTGGTTTGGTCTCCACCCACACTGAAGAGTGCTCACTAAGCTAGCCATTGCCCTCCGCCTTTATCATGGCCAGCCTCGTCAGAGGGCTGGGAACCTTGTTCCCTCTACACCCCACTTCTGCCTCTGCAAGTGCTGCCCCCTCCCATTCCAGCCCCTGGGAAGAGAGTTTGCGGGTAGCAACATGAACTTTTAGAAAATATGAAGGACTCTTTCAGACATAGAGGGTAATATGCAGATACCCGGGCATCCACTAGGACACATTTCTGTGCACCTGAAATTTCTCCCCTTCCCCTCCAAATTTAGAGTTGATTCTCTTGCTTTCCTCTATGTTTTTTAATAAGTATATGCCTCCCTAAGCAATATGTAGTAGTTTTGTATGTTTTAAAATGTTACTTAAGTGCTATCATATTGTCTGTATTCTTCTGAGACTTGCTTGTTTTGCTTAATATATTTGTGAGATTCATCCATGTTGATATCTCTAGCTCTGGGTCACTAAGGTTCATTTCATTTTTTATGGCTGTGTAGTATTCCATGATAAGAAATTGCCCCATTATATTTACTTATTTTCTTTTTCATTAGGTAGTTTCCAGCTCTTGCTGTTAGAACAAG